AACACCGTGGTTACAAATTTATTAACTCAAATTTTTATATATATTTTCTTAGAAAATTACGTAACATAAATTGTAAATCAAAAATTAAACATGATATAATATTAGGGCAAGATCAAGAAATTTTTTTGTCAGAACCCGGAAGTATGTTTTATAATCAAAATTTTGAGATATCAACATACCCGTGTATAAATAGTAATTCCCTTTCTAGATTTTTTATTTTTTAATCATAATGATTTTTTGAAAAATTTACATATATAAGTAACAGTAATAGAAACCCTTGTTATAAGAACATGTTCTGTGACTAATACAATAAAGTTTTAAGGATTTGGGCGTGAACAACCCAAAAAATAATAATTTGGGATTTGGTCAGCAAATCTAGAAACCTGGCAAAAAGATTTTGGACATAAAAAAGTATAGTGCTGCCTTTATGTACTTTAGTTCTTTACCAAGAACGATAATAAATCCACTTTAGTTACAACATGCTTTGGTATAAGTTCACCATGTTCACGCTCGGTAACAACCGCGGAACTATGACACTCAAAGAATTTAGTCAACTTCTCCAATGGTGTATCACATGTGATTTCTTCATAATTTTTTGCCTTAGTAAACTTGAACATCACTTCTTTCACACGAGAATCAGGAGTTGCTCTTCCCCTAGAAATCCGTGATAACAGATTACCAAGAGTAATCAACCCAACAAGCTTATTACTTGGTGACAATGTAACAGGCAACTGATCGAATCCATTCTGCTTCAATATTTCGATAGCCTCCTTACAAGAAGATTCCGCATCAATTGTAACAGCTATTTTGAGATTAAGGTCACGAATTGTAGCACCACCCCATTGTTTAATTTTTATTTCTTCTTCTTTTCGTGAGGTCTCATCTATAAATCCGTGAACCTTCATCCAATCATCGTTCAAGAATTTAGTCATATAGTTCCGCACCGAATCGGCCAATAGTACAACGCACCGTTGACCTTTTTTCAGTGATTTCGCAGCTTGAATCGCCCCCCACAACACGGAACCAGATGAACCACCACATAAGATCCCTTCTTCACGAATTAGGCGACGAGCCATGATAAAAGATTCTTTATCACTTGACTTTATCCATTCATCAATTACGCTGTGATCAAGTGAATCAGGAATAAAGTCATAACCAATACCTTCAACCTGAACAATAATACCAAGAAATCGTCATTTTTCGATCAAATAAGAGCAACTTACAATTATGAAATAATCACATTACCAAGTATGAAACAATGGGTGCGTTAAGATCTTTCTCAGCAAGAAGTGATCCAACCGGATCCACTCCAATAATCTTGACCCCTGGACACTTTTCTTTTAATTTTCTAGCGACACCAGTTATAGATCCACCTGTACCTACACCCGCAACAAACATATCTATTTTTCCATCGCATGATTTCAAAATTTCTTCTGCAGTATGATCGTAATGGGCGATAGGATTATATGGATTAGAATATTGATCCAAAATAATTGAGTTTGGAATTTCCTTATTGAGCCGCTTTGCAACCTCGATGTGTGATTCCGGTGAATCAAATGCAGCCTCAGTTGGTGTACGAACAATTTCAGCACCAAGCGCTTTGAGTATATCGACCTAAATAGATCAATTATCAATGAATCACAAGTAATTTATAATGATAAAGTATTTATATTTATGTACTTTCTCCTGACTCATTTTTTCTGGAAGAGTAATAATCGCTCGATATCCTTTTACGGCAGCAGCCAGTGCGATTCCAATTCCAGTGTTTCCAGAAGTTGGTTCAATTAATGTGTAGCCGGGTTTTATGGTTCCAGCCCTTTCAGCTTCTTCAACCATGCGTTTTCCAATTCGATCTTTTACAGACCCTCCAGCATTGAAAAATTCACATTTTGCCACTATGTGCGTACTCGTAAATAAATAATGCAACTTATCAAGCTAACATAACAGATAAAAAAGCACAAAAAACTTACAAATTTCACATTCAATTCCTTCTGCTTTTGTAATTCTATTGATTCTCACAAGAGGCGTATTTCCAATATGCTCAAGTATATTATCTAGGATCGGTGGCTCAGGTAAACTTGATTTATAAGTAAAAAATTTCAACTAATGAGTTGAGAAACTACTTTTTCAATTCATGTTTGGTTATGTACAAAGCGTGACTTACAGCTCTTCGTGACGATGAAAACTTGGTAAGGTAGTGTTTGGTGTCCAAGTACACTTGTTTTCGCTGTTCATTGATAATTATAGTATTGCAGATCTCTCTAAATGCAGCTCGTGGAGATCGGATTTTTGACAAAGTGCATTTAGAGAACAATAAGAAAAATTATACGTAGAACAATAAGAAAAATCATTTTATAGGATCAGAGCATATATTTGGGCCAGAATATTTTTGGAGGTAGTGTAAATCCTGGAACGAGTGCTCAATTTGGATTGTGTGACGGAATACCTGATTTGTAGTCGGACGAATAGAAATCCTACTTTTGATTCTCGATTTTGATTTGTTGATCAGAAGTAAACAACCACGTGTATACAATAGTTTTCAATCAGATTTAAAGATCAGGTATAACGTTACACGATATTTCTCCATAAGAAACAATCAATGAAAAATTTCGGATGTTTAATTGACAACATGCATACATAACCTGTCACACATTCCGGTTTTGCTTTCTAGAACTACCCAGTACAGGAACGATAATTTTTTGCGGTGGTTACACCTAGTTAAATTGCAGAAGTTACAAAATGGTACGTACGAATAGTGATGCAAACGGCTGGCTTTAGCTCGGCTACATCTCACTATAATGGAGCTGAGCTGTTTTTGAGCCGAGCCGCA